TTCTAAAGATTATAATCAAACTTACTCTGGAACCATCACTGGTAAAACGAACAGCATTTACATTTCTTGCTAATCCCATAGTTGTAATCTTAAAATTAGAACAGCAGATGCATTTAATTATTTTAACATTAATATTAGAAAAATTTATTTATTACCTGATAACACATTAGCAGTTCCATTCGTTGAGCTGAATAAAGATTTACTTTGCCATCATAAGCTCCAGAACAAAATAGATATCGATCCTGTATGATATTTTTATATTATAAAATCAGTACACTAAAACTAAACTAAGTTTTTAACATATTTTTGAAAAGTTACTAAAAAAATCTTACTTATCAAAAATGAAAAATTCTCTAAATATTGATTAAAAAAAAAAATAAACAACTAAAATGGATTACATACTCTCGGACTAAAAGCAACTCCACGAACACTTCCCTGATGGAATTTTAAAAATTTTGGAGTCCCTTCTTGCTGCATTTTAAGAGGTGGACGGCTACTTATAATATTTGAATTTCCTTACTAAAACAGATTTAAAAATTAAATCATTTCAATTATTTGTTCACAAAAATAGTAAAAATTTATTATTTTATAAAATAGTAATTTTTTAAAAATAATTTTTTTAAAGTTATTCAAGTTAAATAATAATCTATAACTAAATATAATTCAGAATAAAATAATTTAATAATTAAAAAAATACTTTTTAAAATTTATAAACAAACATTTTTAAAAACATTCACACAAACGTTAAGAAATATTAACATAGTAACTTTTTCATACTTTCAAGAGTATAATATTAATGTAAATGTTTCTCATTGAATAGGGCAGGAATGGGCAACCTTTTTCTATGTAATGGCTGCATTTCAAAACTTTTCAACTGACGCAGGCTGCATACAAGAGAAAAGAGGGGGGATTTCTGGTAAAACACAATTATTTATTCGTATGTTTACATGTTTATTGTTTAAGGTCTGGGAACATTAATTCATTTTCCATTATTTCTAATAGTGAAAATTGATTCAAACTTTGAACAATTCAAAGTTTGAATGGCTTCTTGAAACAAGTTAAATTAAAAGTGCAAGTAGTACCAGTGTAGTTATATTACACAATTATTCTGACTTAATAATCCATTTTATAGAAAATGTATATACGTTGAAATATTATATATCAGGATGGGCAAGTAGACATGTTTTGAGAATCATAGTTAAGGCGTTAATAACAGAAAGAACTCTTTATGATAACAGAACATAACACTGTGATGGTAATAGTGCCATTACAATATTTTATCTTGGTTATTAACAATAAGATTACATTTATTTATTGCATGACATTGTTATAAAAATTTTGTTAGAATGAATGAGTTCCTCATTTTTGTAAAAGCGTAGTGATGTATCTGAACTTTTTGTTATAATCTCTAGATGGCAATATATGAGCTGTACCAGAATATTCAATATCTGCATTTTGAACACCCTTTCCATACATGTAATCATCCTCAAGTCCTTGCTGAAAAAGTGAGA